GTGTTGGAAGTACTTCTTTCATTGGAAACCATAAAATTAATCAAGGCTCAATGGAATATAATTCTGAAATTGCTAAAAGTTGGAGTAAAACAACTGAGATGCGTATCCCTGGTTCAACAAGTGATGACAATGTTATTAACCAAATAGAAGTAGGTCATATTCTTAACAATGTCAATGGCTCACCAACTGAACATGACCTAAAGAAAGCTCAGATGAAAGAAAAAAGAAAAACTTCGCAACTAGATCATGAAATCAATGAAGAAGAAATAAAATAATTTGAATTACCTCAACATGATGTTTTAACTGTGAATTGAACAATTTCTTTTATTTTGGTTTAATTCATAAAATCATATAAAAAGAAGTGATTTATGATAAAAGAATATAAAAGTATTAAGAATCAATAACAAAAGAATGAAAAATTTATATCATCAAGAAATCTTATGATTAAAGAATGAATAAAAATAAATATTAATTGTATTAACATAAATACATTAATTCTCATATTTCCTATCATCACCAATAACTCTCATCACATTATTTCATTTTATTATTTATAACCTATTTCTTTCTTTTCTTTCTTTACCATTATTATTACTATTATTATTTTTGATTTTTATTGTCATATATCTTTATTTATCATTACTTTCGAAGAATAATCGGTATAAAGAATATAATAATAGGAAAGAGCTTAATAATAAATTATTATAAATTATTTCATTTCTAATTGAAATCTGTTATATTTTATTTGTTATATTTTTGTATTGTTTGTTATTAATATTCTTTATTACTTTTAAACATTCTGCTTCACATTAACATTTATAAAAATGTTTCTTTACAAATCACATAATTGTTACAGGTATATTAAATATGTTAATGGTGTACAACATAAAAAATATTTATTTCCTATTTCATTAATTGTAGCAAGCAACACTACTTTTGATTATAAACAGCTTTAAACCACAGTACTTGTTTCATTAACTAGTAGTTAAATATTAACTCTGTTCTAACAATCATTCAGTAAAATATTTTTAAGGTATTCACTAATAATCAATGATATAATAATTAAAACAATTATTTACAGTATTTAAAATAATGACAAACAATTGTATTAGTTTATATGGTAATATCTCTGTATCTACTTATATCTAATAATCTAAATTTTATATATTTATATTATTTATATATTCTCTTTTAAGTTTGTTGAATAATTTACTTTATACCATATTGGTTTTTAATTATTCTTTATCTCTAAATGTTTGATTATTATTATGAATATGAAATGATTAAATATTAGGAAAATAATTATTAAAGTTAGTTTATAATACCAATTTTATTTATAAGTAATTTATATTTATTGAGTGATGAATTATTATTGAATTTCATTATTCTATTATCTTATTTATTTGTATTAATTTTATTATTTATTTGATTTGATTTGTTATTTTAATTCATGTTTATTATTTTATTTACATTATTTATCATTAAATTAAATTTTATTGATATTTTCAATTAATTAATATCATTTTCTATTTTATTCATTTTACTTCTTATTTTCATTTCTTATTCATTTCTTCTTTATTTTCTTTTTATCTTTATTATATTTTATTTCTGTTGATTTAATATTGATTTATATTCTAAATATCATCTAACATTTTTATTGATAATATTATCATCATTTCACTCTCACTATAATATATTATCGTTTCTTTTATTTCATATTAAATTCTTGATTCATTATTATTTTAATTATTTCTTTTTATTAATTATTTATGATATTATTTTTATATTATATTATATCATATTTGTTTAATTCTAATAATGAATGAAATGATATTATTATTACATAATGATATTTAATACATAAATTAATATGAATACTATTTTAATCAATTTATCAATAATAAAACTATTTCAATTCACTATTATTATTTTGTTCATTTTGTCTTTTGATTTATTTTTTTTTCATATTATTATTTAAATTTCATAATTAAAGTTTCAAATTAATTTAATTTTAAAATAAATAACAAAATATAAATAGAAATGAAAGAATTAAAAATAGAAATGAAATATTCATTTAATAACTTATTAATAATAAAAGATAATACAAAAGATAAAAAGAGAAATATTATAATAAATATAATTTGGTTATAAAATATAAATTAGTGAATGTAATAATATTTAGTCTCTTTAAAACAATTAAAAAGAAAGAAAATTTAATTAAACTTCAGTATAAATTCTAGGACAAACTGCCATTGACATTAATTCTTGGAATAATAATTTGCAGGCATATGGAATATCAACTTTTGAAATATGAGTTTTATCTTTACAACAAGAACATTGGAATGTACATGCTTTATGGTTTGCGACTGCTGGCATATGACATTTGTCACAAACGTAAATTTGATACTTATCAGATGCAAGGAATAATCTTTCTTTTAATAAAGAACTAACACCATGTGAAATCATACAATCTCTCTCCATCTCCCCTAAACGTAATCCACCATCTCTAGATCTTCCTTCTAGTGGTTGTCTTGTTAGTGTAGCATATGGTCCAGTTGCTCTTCCATGAACTTTATCATCTACAAGATGTTTTAATCGTTGATAATATGTTGGTCCAATATAAACAAGACTATCTAATTTTCTACCAGTATGTCCACTAAATAATGCCTCATATCCTCTTCTTTGATACTTTAATTTATGTAGTCTTTCTCCAATTTTATCAACTGTTATATCTTTTTGGAATGGTGTACCACTTTGTACATCTCCTACTAATGCACCTACTTTTCCAAGTAAACATTCTACTAATTGTCCAACTGTCATACGAGATGGAATAGCATGAGGATTCATAATAATGTCTGGTGAAATTCCTTCAATAGTAAATGGCATATCTTCTTGTCTATAGGTCATACCAACTGTTCCTTTTTGTCCATGTCTTGAAGAGAATTTATCTCCAATTTGTGGAATTCTTATACTTCTCATTTTAACTCTAATATATTTTGTTCCTGATTGTGCATTTGTAACAACAACTTGATCAACAACTCCATTTTCTCTTGGTTTATATCTTAATGAACAATCTTTTAATGTTTTATTTTTATTTTCATAAAATCCAGCAACCAAAATATCATCCGGTTTAACTTTAGTTCCTGGTGCTAAAATACCATCAACATCAACTTTTTCATATTTACTAATGTCTTCAGTAATTTCTGAATTATTTTCACTTGGTTTAAAGAACATTAATTCCGTTGTTTCTGATTTTTTAGCGTCTTCACTAAATGTTTTAAATGCCATTGATCTGAACAATCCTCTATCAATTGACCCTTGGTTCATCATAACACTATCTTCTTGATTATAACCTGAATAACAACAAACAGCAACAATAGCATTAATTCCTGCTGGAATATGTCCAAATTTGACATATTCAGCTGCTCTTGTTGATACCAATGGTTTTTGTGGATAAAAAAGGACATGTCCTAATGAATCTAATCTTAATTGATAATTTGATGCGTATACTCCAATTGCTTGTTTACCCATAGCACATTGATATGTATTTCTAGGAGATTGATTATGATCAGGGAATGGAATAATAGAACCTAATACTCCCATAACTAATGCTGGATGAATTTCGCAATGAGTATAATTTTTACTTGAACCTCCTTCTGTATTATCTAAATCTGATGGGAACATAGCAATCATAGACATTTCTTCTTCATCAGCATCTACATATTCAATAATTCCTTTTGATAAGAAATTATTCCAAAACTTTGTTTTTTCTGTTCCGTTACTTTCATTATCTAATCTACTACATAACTCTGTAATTTGACTTTGTTTTAAATTTAATGTATAATGTCCATTATTGTTACTTACTGTAAATAATGGTCTTGTACATCTACCTGCATCAGTATAAATACGTAATTCTTTATGAAGTTGATCAAGAACCATAGACATTACTTTTTTTACTTTTCCTTTTGTACTATTCTTTCTATAATTCTTTAATTCTTCTAATAATTTTTGTGGTTGTTCAGAACATTTTAACCATACTCCATTTAAAAAGACTTTAGTAATATTATTCATTTTTTCTCCAGTGCAATCATTAATATTACAAACGTATTGACAGTCTAATGCTTCTTTAATTTCATCAACTTGTTCATCTTGTAAAGCAACAGTAATTTGTGCCATTAATGATAACATTTTAACTAACCCACATGACTCTCCCTCTGGTGTTTCAGCTGGACAAATATATCCCCATTGTGTATTATGTAATTGTCTTGGTTTTTGTGTTTTTCTTTTTCCTTCAACTGGTGATGAAATTTTTCTTAAATATGCCAATGCTGATGTAAATGTTAATCTGCTTAATACTTGTGCTACCCCATGTCTTGATTCTTTTCCTCCTGGTTGTGGCCAATTTCCTGTTCCTAATGCTTTTGTAAAATCTGATGTAATTGTTGGAAATGAAAGTGGTTTAGCATATTCTAATGTTTTATTACTTGATAATTGTTTTTGTAATTGAGCCCTTGCTGTTTTCATCATACGTTTTAATGAATTCTTAAATAATTCCATCATTAATCCTCCCGTCATTAACATTCTTTTTCTTGCTAAATGATCTCTATCATCTCCATTTCTTTTTCCTGTATAAACTGATAAGAAGTGATTTGTCATATATCCTAAAAATTGTGCCTTTGATTCAAAATTATCTGTTCCAATATGTGGAAGTAAATCTTTTTTTAATTTTTCTGTTCCATCTCTTTGTAACTTTTGTATATTTTCTGATACAATTTCAATTACTCCTTCTTTATTTGTTTTCTTTGAATGTTCTCCAAGCCATCTTCTTGCATCTTCTGTAGTTGTACATTCATTTGCTTGAATAGCAGTAGTAACAATATTATACATTTCATTATCATTTTCATCAAAACAAATAGCCTCTACTATTTTTTGATCATTTTCATATCCTAATGCAACAAAAAGTAATACAACTGGAACATCACAATCCATACGACTAAGAGTTAAAACAGGTACTTTAATTTTAAGTCTTGATTTATCTAATTTTGGATAATCCATTCGAATTTTATGTGTTCTAACTTCGTCATTAGATGCTAAACTATTAATATTTCCTTCATATGGATATTTTAATTGATCACTCCCTTCAAAAACTAAAACTGTGTTTGGTGCCATTTTTTCTTGTGCAATAACTACTTTTTCACTTCCCTTAATAATAAAATATCCACCTTGCTCAAATGAACATTCATCTTTACTAATCATAGATGGTTGTGTTACACATCTTTTTAATCTACAAACATCAGATTTTAACATAGATGGAATACTTGCTATATCAATTTTAGGTACAGTTGTAATTTCTTCTGTTCCATTTTTTCTTATTGTGTCTTTAGCTTTTACTTCAAGTTGACAAGCATATGTTAAACTTCTTAATCTAGCTTCATGAGGGAATAAAGAAGCACTTGCCTTAGAACCAGTAGAAACTTTTGGAAAATGGAAAATTGGATCTGTTAATACAATTGTATGTTCTTCTTCATCATTGGCACTTATCCCTAAAACTTCTGCATTACTTATTTCAATTTTCGTAGTATCACTTGTAATAACATCCCTTACCTTTTTAATGAAATTATTATATGATGACAATTGTTGTTTTACTAAACCATTTTCTTTAAAATGAGCATCAATTAAATACCAAAACTGATCAGGTTGAATTTGTTGTGAGGGAAGATTTGCTTGCATTTTGAAAATTTCTTAAAAAGTTCTTGAATTTTTTTGT